CAAAGGACCTGCCCTCATAGAAGCCACACTGCAGTGGACGAGACACACAACCCACACAGGGGGATGTGAAGCGACACGTCACCTAGTGACAATGCCGCCCAATTACCACTGATGTGATGGCTTCGGACGGCACCGGGTTCCCCCAGCGGGCTCTGTAAGCCGGATTTCAGACACAGGCTCCGGGCTAACTCAAGGCTAGACAGGGCTGAGGTCCCTTCCGGAGGCTCCGGGGGAGAATCCGTTCGTTGCCTTGTCCAGCTTCGGGAAGTCCGCCTCATTCTTTCGCGCCCCGCTTCCTTCACCCTCAGTCGGCAGCGTCAGGCCGGGTCCTCCGCGGCCAGGCCCTCTGACCCTCTTCCGGACTCCGGCCAGGCCGGCTTCTTCCCCTTTTAAGGACCCTTGAGCTTACATTGGGCTCACCTGGATAAACCAGGATGATCTCTTTATTTTGAGGTCAGCTGATTAGTCACCTTAATTCCATCTGCAACCTTAACCCTCCTGGATAGGCAAGGTAACACCGTCACAGGTTCCGGGGATTGGGACGCCGCTCTCTCCAGGGGCCATTGCTCTGCCTGCCACCCATGGAAGACAGGTAGAGACAGAACGGTAGAGGCAGAAAAAGGGGTTGCAGAGAGAGACAGAGGAGACACTGTCCCAGGTGTGCTCTGAGGGCTTCAGTCTTCAGGGGAGACCTTCCAGGGAACTTGTTCCAGAAAAGCCTGGGGCTGTTCAGGGTTGGGCCAACAGTTCATTGTTGGGGAGCAAAGAAGAGGGACAGGTGGCAGCAAATCACTTCCGCCATCATTTCCTGAGCGCCAGAGCTACTGGGGACTCCACGGTGGGACAGCACTTCCCCACCTGGGGTTCAGAGGGCACATGCAGATACTCCCAGGCTCTGAGCAGCTCTCCTGCGTGGGGGATGCAGGAAGGTCTCATCAGATTCTCGAAGGGGCCTGGGAACAATCAAAAGTTAACTCCTCTCTTGCTGGTTATAAAAGAGAAGTGTTTAGAATATAAAATGCTGCAGTCACTTTGGAAAACAACTTGGCAGAACCTGAAAATGCGAAGTTACCATATGACCCAGTGACTCCATTTCTAGGTACAATATACACCTATGAGAACTGAAAACATATCATCTTTCCAAGCCCTGGCTGGTGTGGCTCAGTGGATTGAGTGCCAGCCTGCAAACCAAGAGGTTGTCCATTCGATTCTTAGTCAGGGCACAAGCCTGGGTTGTGGGCCAGGTCCCCAGTAGGGGGCATGTGAAAGGCAACCACACATTGATGTTTCTCTCCCTCCCTTACCCTCTCTCTAAAAATAAATAAAATCTTAAAAAAAAACCCTGTACACAAACGTACATAGCAGCATTATTCATAATAGTAAAAAAGTGGGCACCATCATCTGATGAATGGATAAACACACTGTAATACAGCCATATAACAAAACAGTATTCGGCCACAAGAAGAAACGAGGTACTGATGTACACCACCATGCAAATGAACCTTGAAAACATCATGCTAACCCAGACTGGTGTGGTTCAGTGGATTGAGCACCAGCCTGCAAACCAAAGGATCACTGGTTCAATTCCCAGTCAGATCACATGCCTGGGTTGCAGGCCAGGTCCCCTGTGGGGGGCACAGCACGCAAAAGGTAACCACACGTTAATGTTTCTCTCCCTCTCCTTCTCTCTCCCTTCCCCTCTCTCTAAAAATAAGTAAATAAAATATTTGAAAAAAAAAGCATTATGCTAAAAGAAAGAAGCCAGACATAAAAGGCTACATGAAGTATGATTCCGTTAACATGAGACTTCCAGAACAGGCAAAGACGAAAGTAGATTGATTAGTGGTTGGGGGCAGGGGGCAGCGGGGAGCGAATGTACTGGGTCCAGTGTTTCCTTTGGGGGCGAAGGAAGTGTTCTAAATTAGATTATGGGGCAGGCAAACGTATGGCGTATGAATCACACCCTAGATGGTTCACACAGGGGAGGAGCAGGAGGGAAAGAAGACGCAGTGCCTGACCCCTGAGTGCAGTGCATTTCCCTTATTCCTCACAGCCCTGGAAGACAGACTTTGCCTTCCTCCCCATCTTATGGATGGGCAATCTCAGAGGTAAGGGATACCAGCCCAAGGCGAGATGGCTGCTTGGTGACAGAACTGGGACTTGAACCCAGGTCTCTGTATTGGTTGTTCTCTGTGCTGTGGGCCATGCTGGAGTGTGAATTCAGAGGTGACTAGGCAAATGGTACAGATGAGGAGGCAGCTTCTCAGCAGTTATTGGTGAGGGGCCGGTTCCGACAGCGTCAGGCAAAACCAGGTAGGGAAAAGGGTTGTGATCAGACTCTGTCTTCAGCCTTTACTTAATGTCACCCTCCCACTCACGAGGGGAAATTGTTTCTATCACACATTCACCCCCATTTTGCAGACGGAGCAGGCCCAATGCTACCCAGTGAGGTAGCATTGCCTACGAAGGACACACAGCTCGTAAGTGATTGGGGCCACGTCCTCCTGACCACAGGACCTGTGACCGCTTTCCTTTCCAGGCTGCTCTGACTCGGGAGGCTGCTCCAGGGAAGGGGTGGGAAGCCCGAGAGAAGCAGGGCTGGGTGAGGACAGCCCAGTGGGGAAGCTGCAAGTTCTCTTCCCGCAAGGCACTCTCCTTTAGGGTTGGCCCAGGCCCGGGAGGCACCCCCCAGGACTGCTGGTCTGGATGGAGAAAGCTGAGCGTATTGGGGTGAAGACTGAGGGTGGGCTTGTGTGGAGAGGCAGGGGCACGGCTGTGGCCGTGCCGGGCCAAGCCAGACACGAGAAGCTGAGGGCACAGAGCCAGGGGAAGAGGACTCGAGGAGAGTCAGGGTCACGAGTCAGACCAGCTGGACTCCTGGGGGCAGGCACCTGGATGCTCAGTGTGCTACCCCAGCCCGATTCCTCGGCTCTGCTTTTGCTCCTTGTCCCCTGTCACAGACCCTCCCCCATACTTCCTCAGTTTCCCATAAGCTCCACTTTTGGGGGAGCTGCCATGAGGGGAGGTGGTCCTATAAAAATAGCAAGTCTCAAAGTCAGTGCTTTTTTGGGTGCCACGCTCCTCTGGCAAAAGGGTTGCCCCCTTTCCCCCACTGTTTGCATGTTTTACATGATCAGTAAGGTGAGGGGAGGGGTCTGGGCCTCTTTCTTCTCTGGAGGATGGGGCAGCGGAGGCTGGGTTCGCACCTCCCCATGGCTGGCCGCCTCCCCGGCCCTGGTCACCCTGATCCATTGTCCCAACAAGAACAGAGAGAGCAGCTTTGGAAAGCAACACTATGAACGGGAAAGGGCTGCCAGGGCCGCTACCCGACTAATGGGATGAGCTCCCTCGTGCGGGGCCTTGGCTCAGCACCTGGGACAGCGACCTCTAGAGAAGGGGGGCGGCTCTGTGCTCCTCCCTGGGACCCTCAATTCAGACTCCAGGCCACCCCTGTCTAGGCCTTGAATCTCCAGAGATGAGCTTAGGGAAGTGGATGCCCCAACTGCCCTTAGAACTTCACTCTTACTCAATCAAAGTTTGAGAGGGAGTAAGGGCTGGGTCCAATGGGCTGCGAGAGGACTTGGGAGGCTGGGAAAGGGGAGGTCTTGACCCCCAACTTTGCTCTGTTCTCATTGGCCTCCCCTGCCCATCCCCATTCCCCGCCCCAACTGACTCAGTGTCTGGGTCCCAGGAGAAGAGGACAGTGGGGTGGGGTGGGGGGGTTGGGAGGAAGCTCAAGCTGAAAGCAGAAAGACACTCAACTCCAGGGAGGACAGAGGGAAGGACAGCAGCCTTGGGCCTCGACCCCAGACCTTGGCCTCCCTAGATCCTGGGCTCCCCAAAACAAGGCCAGAGCCTCCACACTGTCCCCTGAGGGTGGTGTGGGGAATGCCACAACCCAGGGACCCCCAGGCTGAAGGCAGAAGACCAGGGCTGCTTGGGAAGTAGGCCCGTGAGAACACGGGGCTGGGGCTGCTGCAGCTGTTCCAAGAGTGAGGTAAGGGCATGGGGCCTGCTGGGTGGGCGGGGAGAAGGAGGACGAGGGCGATGGGCGAGGCCTCGGAGGGGACCCGGTGGGAGGGGGAAATGGAAGAACTAGGGGACATAGGGGTGGGAGAACTGGGGGCAGAATGGGGGAAGGGAAGATGGAAGGACAGGAGTGCAGGAACAGAGCGGCAGCAGCCCTGCAGGACAGAGAGAGGGGGCAGGAGTGTGTGCGCTTGTGTGTGCGTGTAAAAGCCACGTGGAGGGATAGCCTCTAGAGAGCCGAGACTTCGGCTTTGGCGCTGAGGCTGTGCCCGCTGGAAGGGGAGCTGGAGTCAGGCGATGAGTGGTTGGTTAGGGGGTGCTGCCAGGCAGAGGGTCTTGGAAAGGCAGGGACCAAGAGGTCTCCCCAGATACCCCCGAGGTACGGAGGCTGGATGAGTCTGGGCCTGTGGGATCTGGCCCCGCAGAGGCTGCTGTCCGCACCTCCATCCACCCTCATCTACCCGGCAGGTCCTGGCTTAGCCTCGCAGGCGTGGCGGGCTGGCCTGCACGTGGGGTGGGTGCCGCAGCTCTGCTCGGGCACTTCTGGGCCCGTGACATCCGTGTCTGTTGCCCTGTGTCTGTGTGTTTGTGACTTTGAGCCTGTAGGGACATCAGTGTGTGACCTGCGTTTGTGTCCTCTACTGACTGTCTGTGTTAGGAGGTGGGATGGTGTGTGAGGTTGGGGTTTTTAGTCCAAATGTGTGTGTCTGACTGGGTGTGTGTGAGTGTAGGGGCGTTCCTTCCCAATGCGGAGGCTGGGGTCCTGGTGGCAGGGGAGGGGGAGGGGGGGAGCCGGGAGTCCTGGGAAGCTGACCCTTGGGCAGACAGGCAGATGGGCTGATGGGGGAAGGAGGGGGCGACCCCACTGTCCTCTGAGGAGTGCAATGCCCTTGCCTGGGCCCCTGACCTTGCCATTGTGCTGCCCCACCCGCTCCCCGTTGCCAGGGCCTGGCTGAAAGAGACCATCCATCATGATGGCCCGCCGGGCCTGGTCTTTGCTGCCAGCCCAGCCGGACAGTGGCCACCTGGGCCTGCTCCTGAGACTGCCAGCCCTGCTCCTCCCTCGCTGCCCCAAGGTCTCCCCAGAGAAAAGTCCTGCCTCTCACCCCTCGCCCAGGCTGGAAGGGGATCGAAGCTGAGGGGAGGCAGGGGGCCACAGGTGGCTGCCATGCCCAGGCCTCACTGGCTGTCCCCACAGGCCATGCTGCAGGCTTGGAGCTGGCTTTCGTGTGGGAGCTGGGAGACGTGGCGGCTGTGAGGGAGCACCCACTGGTGCTGCCCTGTCAGGTGGGCGGTGAGCCGCCTGTGTCCATTTCCTGGCAGTGGGATGGACCAACCCTGGCCAATGACAGCAGTGCCATCCTGATGCTGCATGGCTCCCTGCATCTGGCCACCCTGACCACCCGCTGGAGCCTCTCTTCCCATGCCCATGAGTACCACTGGGTGGCCCAGAACTGCTACGGGCGGCCGGTGAGCCGGAGGGCCCGGATACGGCTGGCAAGTAAATGACCAGGCTGTGTGTTGCGGTGGGGGGTCAGAGTGCACAGGGGCACCCGCAGAGGATGCCCGTGGGGCTCCAAGTTGCCCTGAGCAGCGCCAGCCTAGCTGGTAGACACAGCATGCATAGGGCCTAGGGCTCAGGGTGCGTTCAGGGACCCACGGAAATGGTTTAATTCTAATTTCTTTAAAACCAGAAAAAAAAAAGACCATAATAATGAATACATAATAGTGAGCCCAGCCTGGATTATATTCGTCTTTTACAATGCAAACATAAAATGTAATGTTTAATGTGTTTTTTTTTAATGGAGGAAGGCAAAGTGTTTACAGCCTACAAAAGTCACAGAAACCAGCCCTGGCTGCTGCAGTTCAGTGGACTCAGCGCAGGCTTGCTAATCAAAGGGCTGCTGGTTCGGTTCCCGGTCGGGGCACGTGCCTGGGTTACAGGCCAGGTCCCCAGTTGGGAACATGTGGGGAGCAACCACATTGCTGTTTCTCTCCCTCTTTCTCCTTCCCTTCCCCTCTCTCTAAATAAAATCTTAAAAAAAAAAGAAAAGTTCTGGTTCACAGAAACCAGACTGCAGGCTTGTATGGTGAAGCAGGTGAAGCAGCCGGGAGTGACAGACTTGGGCACAGAGGTGGGAGCCAGGGCTCTGGGACTTAGCTGCTGGGAGCAAAGCCCGGGGCCAGCTCTGGGCTGCTCAGGCAGTCCCCTGTGCCCTAGTCTGCCCCTCTTCCACCAACATCCACAGTCCACCGAGGTGGAGCGGGGTGGAGTTGCCCATTTCCACGCCTGACCCAGATGGTGCCTGAGCCTTCCATTTCCTAGGAGCACAATGGCACGGCCCTGAGTACGGCCAGCCCCTGTGAGCTCCGGCCAGGTGTGTGGGGATGGCAGGCTGGGGGCCAAGGAACAGCCATGGACCCCTCACTTCTGCATCCTTAGGGTCACACTGATACCTGGTGACATCCTCTACATCACTAGCATAAGCCAGGCTGATGTGGGCACCTACCACTGCGTGGCACGCAATGTGGCCGATACTTGGCACAGACAGGATGCCCAGCTGACCCTGAGTGGTAAGCAGCAGCCAGGGGAATCAGAGTGGGCACCAGGCAGAGAGGAGGGCGTCGGAGTTGGTGCCGATGGGAGTAGGTGTGGCCACTGGTTGCAGGTGGCACAAATGCCCTGTGAAGACAGACACTCGGAGCCCCTGCTGTCTGTGAGGCACTCACTGCTGGGTGTGCGGTGCAGCAGCGTGTGGATGGGACATCCTGGGGAGGGGGGGGGGGGGGGGCCTGGGGACTGGGGCAGGGACCTCTAACCCAGCCTTGGGCTGTGGGCCAAGATGGCTGGGTGTCAAAGGGTGACAGGAGAGAGGCAGCCAAGGTCAGGAAGGTGGAGAGGGTGGTGTTCCTGATATTTCCTTGTGCTAAAAGCACAGGGTAAGAACAGAGTGGGCCGAACCCAGGGCCAACAGAGTCGAGGTAGGCTGGGCCCACCGTGGAAGGCAGTTGGGACTCAATCTGGAGGGCACTGGGAACTCTCGATGGCTTCAGATGGGGGCTCAGAGCCAGCCTGTGTCTTGGCTGGGAGCGGATGCCTGGGTGTAGTTCCGCGCGTGCGTGTACTTCGGGGTGTGCCTATGTTTGGATGTGCGTGCTTGCACGTCTCCTCCTTGGGGTGAGGATAAAAAGAGCTTTGTACCTGGGATGAAACGCCCAAGATGACTCCAAATGCAGGCCTAGTGGGGTGGGAGAGTTTTGTGCCCAAAGTGAGGGTCGCAACCGAGACTGTGAGGAGCTGGTGCCTCACAAGGCGATGGGAGTGAGACGGACCCCTCAGTCTGAAGCCGGGAAGCAGCGTGTGTCTGAGGGGCAGGCGCGCCCGAACCGTCCACTAGGGGGCTCCATAGTAGAAATAACAAGTGGACCCTGGGAAAGAGTCAGGGTGCCTTGCATAGACTTCCAAAACATTTGTGACGAAATTTCACCAAAGGATGTACAACTTTTACATTGATGACTGCAAAGGGAAGGGAGGGAGCTGAAGCATCTCTGATCTGGAACCAACTTAGAAACTGAAAGCAGAGAGGGGCTCACGGGGCTCCCCCGATCCCCAGAGCAGAGGGGAGCCCGCGCGGGGTTCCTGTGACCTCCCTTTTCCCGCTTCCCATCAACCACCTGGGGCAGGAGGGCAGGGCGGCTGCCGCGCTTCTGCGATTCTCCGCGCTCCTCATCAAACGCCGGGGTGTGGGGCAGGCATGGCCCTCCCTCCTGCTGCCCACGGAGGCAGGGGAATGAATGGCCAGAGTCTCAGGCAGGTCAGGAGGAGGAGCAGGCTCTGCTGAGGGCGGAGGGTCAACCAGTAACGGAGGGTGTGCAGGTTCCCTACATGTCGGGAAGGACTGGGGTCAGTGCAGACTCTTTCGCAGGGGCAGGAGCTGGGGACCGAGGCCCCGAGCTATTCACTCCTACAGCACTTCCCTGGGGTGGGAGACGGGATGTCCCAGACTCTCCAGGTGCTGAAAGAGGCAGGACAGGTATGCTGTCAGCCGGCTTCAAAGGCCCAGGTTTGAGTCCCATTTCTGCCAGTCCCACTGGCACTGGACAAGTTATTGAACTTCTCTGACGCATGGTTTTCTCATCTGTAGGCTGGAGAAATTAAGGCGCTCGCCTCTCAGGCTGCAGTGAGGATGAAGTGAGACAAGGTGTGTGGGTTCGCAGGGCAATGCGAGGAAGGAGGAGGGGTTTAGGGGGCTGGCGGGCAAAGTGTCGTATGGTCCAGGTTCTACCCTCTGAACGATCTGAGCAGGCAGCACACAGCCGCCTTGGTCAAGGCTGGGACATTCCAGGACAGTCCACGGCTGAACTAGAGCTTCAAAGAAGCAAACTGCGGAGGGCCTGGCCCTAAGTAGGCCCTCAATATATATGGTCAGGGAATAAATGGATGTATGAATGAATGAGTGAAATACTATTTTAGGCCTAGAGGAATATTTAAAGTTTTGTAAGACTCTACTGACTCCTTGAGCAACTTTCACTTCAGAGACACAAAATTTTGTATGAGTTCTTTTTTTTTTTAAGATTTTATTTATTTATTTTTAGGGCGGGAAGGGGGAGAGAGAGAGAGAGAGAGAGAAGACAGACATCAATGTGCGGTTGCTAGGGGCCATGGCCTGCAACCCAGGCATGTGCCCTGACTGGGAATCGAACCTGCGATGCCTGGTTCGCAGTCCGTGCTCAATCCACTGAGCTATGCCAGCCAGGGCATGAGTTCTTAATAAAGGACATATACGAAAGGGTTCAAGATATCTTACAAAATCTAGGAGAACTGGACAGCCACGTGCAAAAAAAATGAAACTTGAGCACCAACTTACACCATATACAAAAATAAATTCAAGGTGGATAAAAGACTTAAATATAAAACGTGACACCATTAAAGTCCTAGAGGAGAATGTAGGTAGGAAAATTTCAGATATTTCACGAAGAAACTTTTTTACTGACTTGTCCCCTAGAGCAAGAGACATAAAGGAAAGAATAAACAAATGGGACCTCATCAAAATTAAAAGCTTCTGCACAGCTAAAGAAAACAGTATCAAAATTAAAAGAGAACCAACTGTATGGGAAAACATATTTGCCAATGATACCTCGGACAAGGGTTTAATCTCCAAAATATATAAAGAACTTACAAGACTGCACTCTAAGAAGACAAGGAATCCAATTAAAAAGTGGGCAAAGGACTTGAACAGGCACTTCTCCAAGGAGGACATACAGAAAATCTAAAGACACATGAAACGATGTTCAATATCGCTAGCTATCAGAGAGATGCAAATTAAAACCACAATGAGATACCACTTCACACCAGACAGAATGGCCATCATAAACAAAGCAACAAACAACAAGTGTTGGAGAGGTTGTGGAGAAAAGTGGTCCCTAGTGCACTGTTGGTGGGACTGCAGACTGGTACAACCACTATGGAAAGCAATATGGAACTTCCTCAGAAAACTAAAAATGGATTTGCCTTTTGACCCTGCGATTCCACTGCTGGGACTATATCCTAAGAATACTAAAACACCAATTCAAAAGAACCTATGCATCCCAATGTTCATAGCAGCACAATGTACAATAGCTAGATGCTGGAAGCAACCAAGATGCCCATCAGTAAATGAATGGATCAAAAAACTATGGTACATTTACACAATGGAATTCTATGCAGCAGAAAGAAAGAAGGAGCTCCTACCCTTTGCAACAGCGTGGATGGAGCTGGAAAACATTATGCTAAGCGAAACAAGCCAAGCAGTGAAAGACAAATACCATATGATCTCACCTTTAACAGGAACCTAAATAACAAAACAAAGAAACAAGCAAAATATAACCAAAGACACTGAAATAGAGGTCAGGCTGACAGTGCCCACAGAAGAGAGTAGAGGGAATTTCAGGGGACAGTGGGAAGTGTTCACGGGAACAAACTTAAAGCACACATGGTCATAAACTAAGGAGAGGGTGGTAATGGGAAGGAAGTGGGGAGGGGTGGGAGGGGGGCTGGATTGGGAGTAAAAAGGAGAAAACTGTATTTGAACAATGATTAAAATAAAATAAAAAAAAATATTCCCTAAAAAAAAAGATACCTTACAAAATCTTGTAAGATACCAAGTGGAAAAACAAAAATGAAGGTGACAGGATGAAGGAAGACAAAGGCCTGTTTATCCCTCGCTGTCACAGCTACACTCCCAGTGCAAGAACAGCACCTGGCCACGGTCCCCCCGTGAAGGTTTGTTAAATAACCTCATGTGAGAGATGAGAGAGATGAGAGACGGCGGCTTAAAGCAGAGATGCGGTTTAGCCCCACACAGTGTATTTCAAAAACATCTCTTCTAAGCAGTTCTGACTCACTGAGTTCTTAAGAGGCCTGGCTTTCTTTCTGAGGGGTGGGCTTCCTGCCAGATTTGTGGGTGACTTAGGGAAGGGGACTAGGCCCCATCCGGAGCAACCCCCACCCCCGCCAGGTTCCTGGGGAGGGTGGGGCAGTTCATGTTCTGACACTAGTAGTGCAGGCCATCCCAGAGCACACAGGGGAGCAACTTACAGTCTTTCCTCTCCCTCCCCACTGGTTTAACTTGGAGCATGCTGCCCATGGGACCTTGGGCAAGTCATTGACTTTTTTGTAAACTGGGAATAAAATAGCCACTGCTCAGTGCCACTTGGAGGTCCGGTGACTTGAGGACTAGAAGGGGCTCTGGGAGCAGTATGGACTGCGTGTGAAAGGAGGTTCTGTTCCTCGATCTCTCAAGTTGCTGTTTCCACCTCACAGTGGGATCCTCACGGCTGCTCCAGGAGCCTGAGATCCTGTCGGGGCCTCAGAACCTCACACTCACAGTGCACCAAACGGCGGTGCTGGAGTGCATTGCCACTGGCCACCGAAGGCCACTTGTCTCCTGCATCCGCCTGGGTACACAGCTGCTCTGTCCTGCTCCCCAGAGCCCCCAGCCCCTCGCCCTTTGCCAGTCCTGGCCCCTCACCTCCCTGCAGATGTCCACTCTGCATCTAAGGTGTGGAGGGCATCCAAGTCCCGGGCACTGGAACCCATGATCTCCGACATGTCAGTCCAGCACTCAGGCATCTATGTCTGTGCTGCCAACCAGCCAGGCACCTGTGCTCGGCACACAGTGCAGGGAGTTCTGCTCGTGCAGGCTGAGCCCCGAGGGCCCAGTGTGAAGGTAGCGCTATCCCCCATGGGCAGCTGGATGGGGAGAGAGGTAGGGCAGGGGTGGGACAAGAGACCCGGCCTCATGGCACCTTCCCTCCTGCTGTTGCCTGCCCAGCTCCCCTCCAAGTCTGTCCAGTGGCCACAGTCCTTGTCCAAACCTCCAGGCAGCAGCAACATCTGCACCCACGTGGCCCAGGGTGTCCCTGAGCCCCATCTGGTCTGGTTAAAGAATGGGAAGGCGCTGAGTCCTGGGGACAACATTCGGCTGACCTACAACAGCAGGTACTGGTGTCCCACCTCCTCCACCTATCTGTCTGCCAAAGTAGATGCCCACACCTGCCCCTTTCCCACCTACACATGACCCTACCTAAATCTACTCTCTAGACTTCACACACACCCCCAGCAAGTGCCCCCACCACAGGAAACCCTGTCCCACCTGATTCACTGTAGGGAATGTCCACACATAGGTGGTGTCCTTCTGTCCCTGAGCAGCTGTGGGTCTCTGTGATGACAGCTACTCCACCAGGCAGGGGGCTTGGTGGGAAGGAGCCCCCAGCTCCTATACTGTACAGTGCAGCCCCCAGCAGCTGTACTGTCTCTCCCTAGCACATGGACACCGGCAGGGGTCTCAGTCAAGGACGAGGCCATCCACCCATGTGTGGCAGAGAACACTGCAGGCTCCAACCAGGCCGGTACTCACCTGCTGTGACAGGGGACCCAGGGCCACCCCCTGCCCCCAGGGGCCTGCAGGCAATGACTCTCTTCACCTCTGCCATTCGAGTGTCCTGGGAACTGCCCCCCTCCGACAGGGACATCACTGGCTACGTGCTGCACCTTCAGCTGGTGGGAGGTGGATATGGGTGGGTGAACAGGGGTCCCTGGTTCCAGCCCACCTATACCTGTGACTGGTGTGTCCCTCGGCAAATCCTCACTCCTCACAACCCCAGGCTTGCCTGACTCTTTCCAGGCTGCCGGGGCTGTGGTCCTCTGGTGCTTCTTCGTGCTCCTTGGCTCTTTCTCCCTCTCAGCCTTTCTCACCCTAACTCCAACTCCTGCAGCCACTTCCCTGCTCCCCAGCCAGGCACCAGGAGGGGCTCCATGCCCACTGCATGGGGGAGGGGATGTCTGTAGTGAGGAAGCAGGATGCTGAATTGCCAAGCTGCCCTGCTCCCAGAGGCAGCTGGCCCGGGGCTCCAAGGGGCTGCAGGCAAAGGCACCTTTGAGCATATCTTCTCCAACCTGGAGCCTGCCAGCCTACTCCATCCACTTGTGAGCCCACTCGGCAGAGGGCACCAGCCAGGACTCTGCCTCCGTCCACCAGGAGCAGCAGTGACTGACAGCCCCCCCCACCCGGAGCTCTGGAGAGGCCCTGGCCTCAGGCAGACGGGTTGCCAAGCAGCTCATCCCATTTCCTCTGCAGTCACTGCCGTTCTGGGCTTCTCCACCAGTGTTCAATGCCACCTCGGTGCAGGCCTCCTGGGAGCTGCCACCCCAGCTGGGGACCTGAGGCTTCAAATTCTTTCACCACAAGCTGCTGGCCCCCCATTTTGAGGGCCCCCTGCTCTTGGCCAGCAGTGTCAGCTCTTTCCTCTGCACAGATCTGGGTGAGGCCCTGAACCTTCTTGTGCCCCCAGCCCCCGGCCCCCTTCTCCGTACGGTCTTGCCCCAGGCACTGAGTTTCCGTGCCCAGAAAGGCCTGTGGGCCTCACAAGCTCCTGCTCCGGGCAGAGCCCAGAGCCCTCTATGAGATCAGCTTGTCTTTCAGCAGCAATGGAGATTGTGACCACAGTGCTCGCTGTGCCGCTTTGCATGACGTGCCCCTGGCCACTGCTGGAGAGTGGGGCCCAGTAGGAGGGCAGCAGGCCTGGGGCCAGAGAAGGCCCCTGGTGTAAGACCATGGCTGTCAGTCTTCAGGGAGGAGGAGGGGTGGGCTCTGCCTCCATCCAGGTCCTCTGACAGACGGCACTGTGTCCGCCCACAGCATCCAAAGCTGGGTGCCCGTGCAGTCAGGGCGAGAGCAGCTCACCGCCTGGGCTTGTGGTGGGCATCCACGTGGGCCTGGCTGCTCCCACTGACTCCTCCTGGACTGGAAACATAGGTAAGGGCCAAGATGGCTAATCCAGAAAACTGCTAGGAAGACAGCCTGCATAACTGTGGTTTAGGGCGGCGAGGCAGGAAAGAGCCCTTCTGCACTACTAGTCCACTCTGTGACTGAGGAGACTGAGGCTGAACGGGCGAACCAGTGCTCCTCAGAGCTGTGTGGTATCCGGAGTGAAAGGCCTGGTGGGCGGCAGGAAGCAGGGCAGACAGCACCGGGCTCCCAAGGCAGGGGACAGGTGGCAGAAGTGGGCCACAGCACTCCCCACGCAGGGGCCCTGCCTCTCCATCCTTGAACAGAATGAAGGGCAGGGGCTAAGCCAGAGGGAGGACTCAGACATGTTATGGTGCTGACCCTTCCTATCCGGACAGCCTCTTCTGCAGTCAGCAGTCCCGAGTGCGGGGAAGTGCTTCAGGCTGCCCCGAACAGAGCTGGGGGCCGCCGAGGCCAGACTCTGAGTGGAGAGAAGCCGGGGGAGAAGATCGAACTCATCCCGCAGGTGAGGGAGGGCATCCAAGTGAGGGGAGTGGGTAGGGGAAAGTGGTGTGCTTGAGGCCCTGGGACCAAGACCTGACCACCTCCTTCCTCTTCAAGTGACCGTGGAACAGCCACTCTTGGCCTGCGGCCTTCCAAGTTCACTTCCTCCTAGATGACACTAACTCCAGCCCCACCAAAGAATCTACCTCATCTGTCCGTGCCACCCAGAGTCAGGCAAGAACTGAAGGTCCTTCAGTCCTTCTCTGGGGAGGGGCGGGCCTGACCACAGGGAGAGAGATGAGAGTGTGGTTTCTCTTGTCCCTCCCTCCTCAAGGCATGGGAGAACCTTTGTCCTCCCCTGTACGTCAAATCACCTCAAACTAAACCAGCTGGGAGTCATCCCCAACCGCGTCACTCCTGCCGCATAACCCCATCCAGTATATCTTCTTGCTCCGAATGTACGAGCCTACCCAAAGACATATAGCTTTAAGGGCTCCCTGCAAAACAGGGAGGCAGGGCCAGGGGCTGACATTGCCTGCATTTCAGAACCAGAATCCTAGTTTGAGATCTGTCTACTTGTGCCCAGGCTGAAGTATGACCCGGGGACAGGAAACACACTTTCCTTGTGGCCTGAGTGGGCAGGCGGGCAATAGGAGTGCTGACTTCCTCATCCCCTTGTCCCAGCACCGTAAGAGCCCTGAACATCTGAGCTCACGTAAGCGGCTTCTCCGAGCAACCAAGTGTGCATCTCTCCCTTTCCAGGTCCAAAAGCACTGGTCCCTTTTCAGGGGGCATCCCTCTCTACTGGATTTCTATTTTTGAAAGGAGGTACTAATTTGAATTGGATTTTTGGTGGTCTTGAATCCCTTGTAGAGTGGACACGGAGGGCATGAAAGATCCCACCCATCGATTCCCCTCAATTCCAGGTGTCCTAAGAATGCCTCTTTGCCACTCCGCCTTCTGCGAGCTTACGGCACCCAGGGCCCCACTTTCCTTCCTCATCCCACTCTCCCTTCCCCTAAAGCCAAAGTCTCAGGCTCTCTCTCAAACAGCTTCTCCCTCCAGGGCTGTCCAGTATTGTGCCAAAAAGGTGAGGCGAGTCTTGGAGGAAGGAAAACCCAGGGTTTAGGGGACCCTAAACACCATCTCCCCTGTGCTCTTAGAAAATGATGCTAGTACCAATGGTGAGACTCCAGTAAGGCTGCCCCCCCATCCCCAACGGCTCCTCCCTGTGAGGGGAAGAAGTATGTGGCAAAGCACCAGAGGTTAAGAATACCCCAAACTTCAAGTCCTTGAGGGAAATGACGTCCTCTCCTCTGGGGGAGCCTGGTCTAAGTGCTTTGCTGGAAATAAAAAACCAAAATGGAAAACTAAATTGGGATCTGGTTAATGTTCTGGGTTGAAAGGAAAACTTGAGGGAGTGGGTTGATGAGGTGGTAAGACGAGCATTCCAGGTCTTTCAGGGGATGGTACATGCATGGTAAGGAACTATTTTGCAGTTTGCTAAGAAAAGAGCAGTGCGAGCTATCGCTTTAAGGTTGCCACATGGAGAAACCAGCATGTTACAAAGGACTGTCACTACAGACGGGAGCAGTGGGACTGGAGCAGTGTGGCGGCAAGGGCTGAGGTGGCTAGGGAACACCTCTCCCTAGGACAGAATGGAGACCCAGACTCTGGATAAAATGCTCCTTCCTTCCAAATGCCTTTACACCTTAAGTCATCAGGGAACTAAAGTGGGGTCGGTGGCTTCTGGAATACTGGTTCCACATAAGGTGAAGAACATGAATACAAAAGCAGGTAAGGGCTTTAAATAATCACCACAATTGAAGGAGAAGGTACAAACCCAAGGTACCCCACAACTGCAGGGGGGTAAACTCAGAGCGCATCTCCCCATTGCCCCGACAATTCTCCCACCAAACCGCCACCGCCACCCCACCGTGACTAAAGCACGAGCCACAGGAAAGTTTAGAAACCATTCCTTTCTTTATTAAACATAGCTTGCAAGTGATAAATATTACAAAGTTTTTTTTTTCTTTTAATCCTTTCTCCAAAAATTAGCTTATTATTTGAATCTGTCACTGCTGAAATGCTCAGCAGCATCTGAAACAGATGGGAGTGTATTTGCCTTTTTGAAAACCAGTTTCTATTGGTCTTAGTTTTTTTCATTTTAATTCCCAAACACAATGCAGAAAATCAGAATGAGTTAAAAAAAAAAAAAAAAAGGAAACTTAAAAGAGAGTTGTGCAAAAGGGTCTTGTTCCCCTCCCACCCACCCCATTCAGAGAAGGCCATTCCCCATCCCACCTCCCTGCTCCCCACCCCCCACCCCAGTCTATCCTTCCACCTTCACCAGGGCCTCACCCGTCACCCTGTGTCCTCTCCAGGCTTTACCAGCCAAGAACCTAAAGCATTTGGGAGTACTCAACCCAGGCTGTGGGGAAACTGGGCCTCTGAAGGAGACAGACTGTGTGAGACAGCTGCCTTTAGGGGGTTCAGATGGGATATGAAGGAGACAAGATGAGAACTACATATCTGAGCTCTCCTACTGTGTCACCAAGATGACAGGGGAGCTCACAAAGGGTGTTAAGTCACCAGACCACTAACCTGGGGCATTCACTAGTCCACCACCCTTCAGGGCACTATGAGGTGTGCTTTGAGGCCTGGTCCCTGTCCTCCAATGACTAGAGGCATAAGGGCAAAGATGTCACAGGTCTACTGATGTCCTAGACATCACTGCTGCCTTTCCCAAACCAAAAGTAACAGCAGAGGCCTGGCAGCTCTCCAAGGGCATTGTCACACATGTAACCACTTCAGCACTAGTCAACTCTGGTTTCCTCTCTGGTTAATCAGCCCAATATTTTCCTCACCTCAAGCTGTTTTGCAGGTTGGGGAAGAAGCATGGAATTAACTTGGTGGCGAGATGATTTCCACTGTCATTTCACAAATAAGAAAACTGAGATCCAGAAAGTTAACTCTACCACACCAAGTAGGAAAGTTTGGGACGAGACCCCAGGCCTCCAGACTGCACCGCCACCCCACCCGCCTGTGTTGTGGGGTTCTTTCTACTCTCCAGTCTGGACGAGGAGCCTCAGCTTCCATACGGGCCCAGCCTCACCCCAACTTACGAAGCCTAAAATCCTGATGGGTGTGGCTCTCCCTAGGTGAGACTTTCTCAGGATGACTTGTTAAAATCCTTTCTATCATCCCCTGACAATCCCCCCTCAAAGGCCCATGAAACTAGGTTTGTTTTTTTTTTTTTTTGGGGGGGGGAAGGTGAGGTAGGGGAAATCCCTTGCATAAGAAAGCTTGACACTAAATTTTGTTATATAGGTATATTGTATATATGTTGATGCAATAAGAGGAAAAAAAACAGTGCAAATACAATTACAATTCATAATAATACTTGGTTTCAATGCCCCCGGGGAACGGCCCCATTCCTCGGCTTCCTCCCAACCCCCAGCACTTCCCCACAGTATCAACCTAACGCTGGGGGCTAGGGAGGGTGGGCAGGTTAGAACAGGGAGTGGGCTCTGCCAAGGCAGTGCTGGTGACCCAGAGGGGATACTCCAGGGTGGGGAGGCAAGGCACAAATGAGGGGTGGGTGGTGGGGGAGGTGGCATCTCTAAGGAGGGATAGGGTTGGAGCAGCTGCCAGTCTCAGTGTGCTGGGCCCGGCCCACTCCCCTACCCACCCTCCACAGCCCTGCCTCCCAACCCCCACCCCTTCCCCAGAAACCCTTTTGCACGGATCATACACAAACGGGCACATTACAAAATGACATAACACGGTTTCACAATATCCATGGCTAGGGCTTTTTTTTTTTCTCTTTTTCAGTTTTTTTTTCTACACAATGTACAATTCCTTTTAAATGGATCAAGAAATAGCTTATATACACGAATGAGTCCTTGTTATAACATCTCCGCAGCAAATATCATAAGCTAATGAAGGTCTTGTTGGAGGGGAACGGACCTAGGACTGGGGTTGGGGTGGGTGTTGAGAAGGGTTATGCCTTCTGGAGGAGTGGAGAGAAAAGGGGATGGTTGGGGGAAAGGAACAAACGTAAAATATCAAGAAGCATCTTTACAAAGCAGTTCTATAGCTAATTCTTTTTAAAGGGGAAAGGAAAGGTAACCAAAGCAGGAACACATTTATCTCTGTCTTAAAAAAAAAGTCTACCATCCACACATCCAAACATGTGGAAAAAAATACTTATTCCAAGGATGGAGGAAAGGAAGTTCAGATGCTGTGGTCAAGTAATAAAAATAAAAAATAAAAATAAAAAAAAGAGAGACAAATAAGGACCTCTGTCCCTCAGCTTTACCCAAGCCTCATCACTCATCCACCCGTTTCAAGCTTCTAGGGAATAAGCCACTGTCCATAAACTACTTTGAGAGTCTCTGGAGATGGAGAAAGCCAGGCAGAACTAGTGGGATCCTCACTATATGACCCTGAGCTTCAGAGCTCTAGAGGGTAAAGGATAACTCTGAACAGAGAATCTGTCCTATCTTTAAAGCATGAGGTTTAGTGTCTATGGGGTCCAAGGCCTGGGGATGGACAGCAACAACAGGCTTGGAGGGATACAAAGCAATCAGTGATGAAATAGTAAAGAAATGAGGAAGACAGGAGGACAGGGGAGAGGGAGGGAAGGAAGGAGGTGGAAGGCTAATACTTTACCATGATTAGGGAAACCTCACCCCCATCACTAATCCCTGGGAAGGGTATGTAAATGGGGAGAGTAAGAAATTAAACCTCAGTGATTGAGCCAAGGGTCACGGAGCTATACTAGTTAATAAGCAGCCTCTATGTAATTGACCCTGAGGGGATAAAAACAGGGAAGACTCCACCCCCCCCACCGCCTCAGCACCTTGGCAGGCACCCAACTACAGGCTTTTCTTCCCCATCATTCCCCCTTCTCTACACATCTTACTCCCAAACCCCATTCAAAGGTGGCCTGGCTCCCAGGGAAGGGGCTCAGCTCAGGGCAGGGACAGCCCCCAGCCAAACGATATTGCACATTCTCTGTTCCTTACTTTTAATCTCAACTGACAAACTTGGGCACATCATACCTCTTGAGTGCCTCTGAGCTGGGGGAGGGGAGACAACAGACATGGCACTTCATCATGGGTCAGGGGAGAGGAAGAGGCTAAACAGACATGCCACAAGGCAAGATGACTTGTAGGGAAATATATTTTTAAAAAAAGCTTCCAATTTCATGGAAGAGAGAAAAGCAAAACCAAACGATTTATCCAGTGCTTTCAAAGCACAGAGGGCAAAGAAAAGATGTAAGAATATATCTTTTTATATATATATATATATAATTTTAAAATAATCCCACACCCAGTTCCATTACTCCCCCCCACCACCACTTACAGTCAGGGGTACCACATTCCCCAGAAAAATACTCGAAATGACCCCGTCACTACCTGTTACTAGTGTCTAGCTTCCAGATCATTTCACCATTGGGGGAGCCCAGACACAGGCTGTATCTCTGCTCCTTTATTAAGTGCTCAATGAATTGTGGGAAGGGAGGAAAGACAAAAGCCCAGAAGGCCTATAGGGCCAGTATAATCACCCACAGTGGCTCTGGGGTATGGGGAATAGAGGCCAGAGTGGGGAGAACTGAGCCTGATTCTAGCTCCTTCTCCCATCCTGTCCCCAAACTTCGGGGAAGATGTGCGGTTTGTGTGTGTATTAATTTTAAAAGTGCCTTCTTACTCTTAAAAAATAAATTTTAAGAAATAAAAGTGGGGGAACTTCCCCAGGTGGCTTTCAAGGGCAAAATGTTAAAGTCCTCTTCACATCTCTGTGCTGAGTATATCCCTTCCTCGCACTGTGGTAGCATCCAGAGCTGGAGAGGCAGATGGGTGTACACCATAAGAGCAGAAACCCCACCTTTACAGGACTTCCCTTACCTCAAAAACAGCCTGGTCCCCTCCCCCTCCCCCATGGTATGGGCAAATGGGATGCTAATCTCCCCAATTCCCAGAACAGCAACATTGCACGATTCAATTCATTCTCTACATTAGTAGCGCTTAAGAGAGAAAAGGGGGAAAAAAAGCAAAATTAATCGAACTTGGGAATGGGGGAGGAGGAGTGGCAACAAATACTTTTCTAGTAGAGGCGCAAAACTGGTCTGGACACCAGGGGTCTGGTTCTGAGCAGCTGGCTCTGCAGTTAGTGCAGCAGGGTCGCAGCAGGG